AAACCCAAAAAACTTTTACTAGTATGTAGCAGTAACATTCCGATTAACTATATTTCAAAATTGTATTATGTAGTCACAAAAGAAGTAATTTTGTTGAAGATGGGTTGTTACAGTGTGTCCTCTAACCTACAATGGTTTGTGATTTTTAGGGATCAATAGAAATTTGAGGGAGTCCATTTGTACTTCAATGTAGCAGCAGGGGTTTTTCTAGAAAAAAACTGCAAGAGGGAGTACTGCAATTCAGCGGTGCAACCAGGTTGGGAAGATAGGGTTTTCCCTATTAGGGTGTGAAGTTTTTGATAATTCTAAGTTAAAATGGAGCATTTTATGGCTTCCTTGTGGCCAAAATTACTATTGGACAGATTCCAGTTGAAGACTGGCCACATGTGATCCCTGGTCAATCAGAATTTGATGGGTGCCAGAGAATCTGTTCCCCAGGGTAAAGGGGCGCTGTGCCCCCTGTTCCCTTGTTTAAAAAAATCCCTGGTAGCAGCATTGTGTTGCATAGCATCATTCTTCTTTTGATTTGATAATTGGCATTGGATTATATAAGCTAAATGTCATGTGCCCACCTATTTATAAACCAAAGGTTGTGTTTTATAGGCTTTATTGCACTTTATAGACAAACACATTATGGACATATGTAGACAGTGTATAGTAAATGCCGTATGGCTTGTGTATACCGTCTTAAAAATGATGGTGGGTGTTGTGTCACCCATGTGAGTTCAGTATTACGAAGATGCTGAATTTGTTGCGTTGATCAACATGTACAACAGAGACACCAGCCACTAAGGGTACAGTCCTACAGTACAGAACAGAACAAATTGCCATCATTTCAGATGAGTGAATTTAAAACCTAATTTTAAGTCGTGGACACTTTTGAGGTTAAACACACCACTTATTGACGCTGTTGTATACATCATTCACATTGGCCATTTCTGGAGGTTTTCAGCAAGTAATGTGTTAATTTCATAATTTCTGGAATGGTTTGAATGCATCCTAGGACACTATGGAGTCAAAGTCTGTATGTGTTAAGGTCTGCAGGTGCTTGTGTTCGTCCAAGCCTGGTTGACGCCAGGATAGCGCATTAAAATTGTCATTTGATAGAGATGGCCGCACAGCCCTGTCATGTAGTCCCAAACATGAATATGACTTCTATGGCAAAAATGCACTATGTGTCAGCACTAGCACTTGCAATTTGCACTTACAAAAAACAGTGACATTCAATGTCCAGAACTGTCGCCTGGCACAAAAACATTTAAAGGGGAATCGCTCAATCCCATGGATTGCACCAAAGAATCATGGGACACTATTGTTTATGTTGTTTACAATGTTAATCTATCTTTTGTTATCCATTGTTATTTTAATCCAGAAAGTAAATTTGTTGTGAGATTAGGCTTAACTGGAAGGTGCCCCTTTAAAAAAAAAAATAAAAATAAAAAAAAGTCTGTGTTTAGTGCACTTTGCGATCAGATAAAAACTCCCATTCATGCTTGTCGCTGGGAGTGTGTATTGGGTTGCAGGTAAATCATTGTTTATTAACACAAATCTTGCACATCCATGGTGTGAAGACCGCTGCCCTTTTAAAAAAAAAAAAAGTTGAATTTGGCATTTATCGAAAAACTCTCATTTTTACTTGCCAATGCGAGAAATCGCAGGAAAAATCCCTTATTTACACAAATCATGCACATATGTAGCACAACGACCATTGCCTTTTAACCAAATGTTTCATAGAGGTATATGCACTATATAAATACTTTTGTTTACATACCAATTTTAAAATCGCTAATTTTATCATGGTTCAGTATGAAACTTTCAAGAAAGAAGAGGAAGAGAAAATTGATAAAGATGGTCAGACTGTTAGTTCTAATTTGTATTACATGAAACAGACTATTGGTAATGCATGTGGCACAATTGGACTGCTACATGCTATTGCAAACAACAAACACAGAATTGAACTTGGTAAGTACATTTATTTATAACACTATATACATCCTTGAAAAAAAAATGTACTGGCAGAAAACAGTTTTGTGATGTCTGCGCTGTCCTGTTTGTGCTGCCGCAATAATTAGTGTGGATCGAAAACTGCTATGTGATATCCTTTGCCCCTATGGTATTTTTTAAACCATCAGCAAATAGAGTTAGAATACAAATCCAAAGATAACATCATTTTTACTGCTCCTTTACCTGTTTTGGTCACTTTCTAGTGAACGAGCTCATGTAATTAATATTTTCCCCAAACGCAATGTTATAATACTGCTTCTTGCAATGTCCCGCTTAATCAATCTCTGCTGCTAAGTCATAAATGTGCTTCTGTAAGTAATTATATCACTCCATTGTTCTGGCCATTGGTTTATTTTAGTAAATCGAAACATGTCTCTTTGTCATTATGCTAATTTGTAAACTGACCGTACTTGTATTCGTATGCAGAGTGTAACTACAACGGTTGCACTCGTATGCTAAGTGTAATTACTAAAAATAATTGTCATTTTTTATTAACCGACATTGTCTTAGGTACATAAATCTGGCATATTTTGTAAATCGTTATTGTAAATCAGATTTTACCCCTTGCCTTTGGCCTTGTGCATTTACAAGATGCTGACATAAATTATGACATTATTTACATTAAACTCACGAGTGCCAACTCATGTGATTAACTATACTTAATGCACCTTCTGCTGAACTATTTGTCATACTTGCTGTTATTGACTTATTGCCTATTCCCATCAAAATGTTTGTTCACCTTTGATTAATTGACTGATAATGATGAACTTCAGTTTAGTTTCATCTATAAATTGAAACTTGTTGGCAGGGTTAAATTTTTCCCTAAAAACATGTCTGGGTGCAGTATATATTTGTTCAGTCACAGTCCTTTGAGTGCTTCAATGTATACAGACACCTTATTCAAGTTTGGTAAATGTCTTAAACGTGTTCAGCACAGCAATTTGCATTTATTTCCTCCGCTGTCGACTTGCACGACAGAGCAGAGCTGTTCATATTACATTTTCAACTTCTTGAAAACTGCTACTTGCTATAATACACTATATTGTAATTTAACTCAAGATCCTATAAAGGGTACGATATCAATAAAGTTCATTATTATTATTAGTCCCCGTTCGGACAAAGTCCGAAAACGGGGACCTATAATTCGGTCTCCGTCCGTCTGTGTGTCTGTGCGTCCGTCCGGAGTCGTATCTCAGAATCCCTTGGACCAATTCTGTTCATTCTTTGCATGTGCCTAGTACTTTATGTCGGACATATGCACATGCAGTGGTTTAGTGATTTGATTCAAAATGGCCGACTGGCAGCCATCTCGTTTTTTTAAAATGTTGTATTTTGGACATGCTTTGTCAGTTTTCATTCAAACTTTGTCAGTTTTCATTCAAACTTGGTACATAGATTATACATGTTAGGATACATGTCCATGATGATTTATTTCACAATTGGATCAAAGATGGCCGACTGGCAGCCATCTTGTTTTTTGAAAATCTTGTATTTTGGACATGCTTTGTCAGTTTTCATTCAAATTTAGTACATAGATCATACATGTTAAGATACATGTCCCCGACCGTCCGTGAGTTCCTGAGTCTGTCCGTCTGACCGTCCATCTGACCGTCTGTCCGTGCGTCAGTCTGTCCAACGTCATATTTCAGAATCCTATTGACAGATTCCGTTCATTCTTTGCATGTGCCTAGTACCTTATGTGGGACATATGCACATGCAGTGGTTTAGCGATTTGATTCAAAATGGCCGACTGGCAGCCATCTTGTTTTTTGAAAATGTTGTATTTTGGACATGCTTTGTCAGTTGTCATTCAAACTTGGTACATAGATTATACATGTTAGGATACATGTCCATGACGATTTATTTCGCAATTGGATCAAAGATGGTCGACTGGCAGGCATCTTGTTTTTGTTTTT